CATTACTCTGCAGCTATATTAGCATTTTATTCTTTCTGGCATGGCTTTTAACTAGAGGAAGATAGGTCTTCAAAGGCTCAGAAGCTGGATAGGACAAATGCTTCAAGATTAAGCATGCAACATACCAACAACTTTCTCCTAGCAGCACCCATATACATAATCTCTTTTTGTAAAATTGTTTTAAGCCCCAACAGCATTCAAATACAAACCTAATAGACATCAGAAGAGCAGTCACCTCCTTCCCCCTCCATCTCTGTTCAACTCCTCTGGGGAGCACTCCCTCTCCCCTCTCCAGGAGAATCCAGGTGCCTATTTCTTTTTGCCAAGTAGCTCACAACCCTTTTCCTCAATATTTGTAAGATCAGGCTGCCTGGGCCTTTAATATGCAAACATCTAACACCCTCACTTGGGAAAGGGGTAAGGCCCCACTCTAGCTCCTCACAATTAGAGCTTCAGACAACAAAAATAACATATCAAAAAACAACATTATGCCACATCGCTCTCCCAAAGTTGCTTTCTTCAAATATTGGACACAGATGTGCAGTTCATCATGGAGTATTTTTGCTAAAGTCTTCCCAGAATATCAGTCTCATGTGCCTGACTACAAACATCTTGAAAATGTTCATTTTGTCTCAGATTATATAGTTTATGACTTTCTTCCATTCCTTAAATAGAGTCAGAAGGCCAAAGACTGAGAATTTTATAAAGAATTAAGTTATAAGTAGAAAAACAAGGCAAACTAACAACATTTAGCCAAACCAACACAACTTGGCTATGAAAGACACTGGCATAGTCTACAAGAAATTACTTCAGAATTTGATCAAATGTACTTCTCTCCATGTGCAGTATCTACCAATTTTTTTTTTTACAATAGACTTTTTTACAATAACATCTCTAGAAGTATGAAGGATTAAAACTGTGTTTTGGTTAGGGATTAAAAATAGTAGAGAGATCATCATTAGAAATGGGGTATGATGAACTATCCTTGCCGATTGTAGTTATCTTAAGACATAATAGACAGGACAAAAATCACATCTTGAACACATGTTCAAATATGTTTGCTACAACAAAGTCACTGAATATAATTTGGATATGCTTTTTCTAGTTGTTGGGTGTTTGTATTCTAAATTATGCAGTTGATAGCTTCTGATTTTTATTTATTTTCAATAAATGCACAAATAGTTCTTATTGAAGAAATTTAAATTTTGGCAATTTATACCAAGTGAAAGTTAATACTATTCTTATTGTAAAAATATCTTTATTTTAATAACAAAGCTCTCAAAGTTAGACTAAGTATTTTAAGTCTGTGATTTATGGAATCAAAACAGGAACAGCTGCATCTTTGTTTTATTCCACCAAAAATCCTGGCATACAGGACAAGTATTAGCTTTTTTCAATCAAAACTATGTAACATTCTTATGATGACTTAGTTTCGTAGGATTTTTAGAATAGATTTTGCAGGTTTTTTTATCACATTGTAAAAGAATCATTACATTGGAACAGAGGAAGAGTGAGAATTTGTGACTGTACCTCAGCATATTTTTTTTCAGAGTAAGACTTTATGGTTCCTGAGGTAAATTATTACACCTATGACTTTATGTGCAAAACTGATGGATAATTCACTTGTTTCAGTTTAGGTAACTGCTATTTTATTTTGACAAATGGTTCAATCCTTCTGGAAGTATCTTGGTATCTATTTGAAATGTGTCTCACACTCAGCCATTTGTACTGTGCAGTCTCAAAGTGTATTCTGATTTTGTAGAAACGAGGACACTTATTTGCAAGAGGTATTTCAGATGTGCTCTGTGACATCCTGTACGGACTTCTGATCAGACTGTGCATCACTGTGGACTCCCACTACCACAAGCAAGAAACCACATGCAGAGCAAACCAACCAGCAACATCTTGTCTGGAACCATGACCAACTTGGAAAGCATTGCTCCTAAATATGTTACGGATAAAAAGCTTGATAAACGTATTTTAACTCATCCATTTTTAAATACAGCATATTTTCATAACTTGGAAACATAAATGATTGAAATTCTGCTCCTAGCTTCCTCTCCATCAAGGCAGCTTCTTTTCATGAACTCCAGAGACAGAGCTGGAAATTGTTTTCTTGCACCTATGCAACTGAAATTTTAATGTTCCTGTTCTTCAGAGTCCAAAAAACCGAAATTGCTGAAAAACCTACAGGCACTGATATAGCTAATGACTGGTAATTAAGTTCATCTTTCACTAGTCTGATGTTCCTCATTCATAGCCTGGGAGTGCACTCTCTCACAGGCTATCAATTATTTGAGGATGAGCTGCTTTCAGTCTCTCGTTGCGCCTTCTACACTTTTTTCAAAATTAAACAGTCAAGGATTTTAAGTTTACAACCCTGGCATTACTCTTTGACCTACAGGTTCTTAGTTATTAATATGAAGTATAATAGCTTCAAGAGATATCTACACAGTAGGATAGCCAGTATCTTGGTAGGGTTTCCTTTTAGCTTGATTTGGAACAGAAACTTATCCTTCCATTTTCCCCAATTCTAAATGCATACGAGCCATCAGGCTGTTCAGCATGCTGCAAACTGAGCACTCTTGCTCCCTAAGGTTTTATGTAGAATTTACATAATGCAGCTGCTAACTGCATACATGGAAACAGAAACTGCAATCTGGTAAACATGTATGCTGCTACATGCTAGGGTCCTGGACCTTGTTTTAGTTACTAAATCACAACATTTAACATTAGACCTCCTCAATAGGTAGCACTGTGAAGACAAATATAAAATTATCCAAACCACACTTCTTCACAGTTAAGCCCCTTAAAAATAACTACACGTTTAACGATGGCTGCATTTTATTGAGAGACTTGAACCACAGACAATATGCTCACAAGAACATGGGTGCTGAAGAAGCCCCCATAAGGTTATAATCCCCTACATATACTAAATCTGTAATATTTAAAATAATCTGAAGGAATATCGAAACTAGTAGAGCAAGGTTCCTTATGTAAGGCTAGGAAAAGCTGTTTGCCTGAATATTTTGCATGAAGAAGTGAGAGGAATAGAGAATTAGAATAGAATGGAGGCTCAGATTGCTGAGGGACAAGACTGTCCTCAGTGGCAGACCTGCAGGATTTCCACCATTTTCTGCAGTGCTCTGAGAAACAGCCTCCTGACAGGACAGAGATGGAGCAGAGCCTTATTACAACTGCAGTGAAAACTAAGTGTGTGGCTCCCACCACTATTGCACATATATCCTCTTATAGCTTGTCAAAAAGCAGCGGCCTAAGCAGACAAGTTTCATCTCAGGACAAAGACTGATCAACCAGTACAGAGCATCTGAAAGGAAACATACCTGCTGTCCACTCAACAAGTTGGACTAGCAGGCAAAAGTATTTCACAATTTTGTTCTGTGTTAAGATGTAAATATTTCAGAAAATGCCAGTTATGAAATTCCAAAAATTCTCCAATTGAAGGTGTTAGGAACAATGGTAAAGGGAAAATGTTTAGGAATTAATCAATAATCATCAGTTTATGCTTATTTTCATTTTACTATTTCTTGCATAAAGTTTTGATTCATATCTTGACTTCATATCTTCTCATTTTTACTACTTAGATATCTCCACAGGATGGATGCAAAAAGATTTCCATCAGCACATTTAATGAAAAACATTTCTTTCAAGCAAGGCACAAAATTTAGATTTATTTATGTAATTTGATTAACCCCAATTTTTGTTTTACATTAAGTACAAAAACCAACTTGAACGTAGGTGTAAATACAATTTCCACAAAGTATTCAATGAGATTTAAAATCAGTTATGTATCCAGAACTGTAAAGCACGATTAAAAGCAGCCCAGGATATACAGATTGCTTACCATAACTGCTGCAAGAGCTCATAATGTAGGAATATATTTAACAAACTCCAGTATTAAGTTACCTCCTTTCTAATCTTTCATTTGAAAGGCATTTAGCAGTTCTGTACCTAACAAAGGAAGCAGTAACAAATGAGAAGCGCAAGCTATCTGAGGCCTAAATGAAACACATACACAATCAAAAATTAAATAAGAGAACAATGACTTAAATAGTTTGGTTGAACATTTCTAAGAACACAAATGCTAAGATAATACAGAAAAATAGCAACAGGTTCAAAGACTTATTTAATTCTCAGAGAACTTATGGTGTACTGTAGCTGCCCGAAATATTTTAACAATTGTAGAAAATCGTATTTCCAAGTTTGGTACGTTTGTATTTTCTAGATGACATACATTTAAGACAACCATCCATGAACTTATGTACAAATAGAAGCTTATTAATTTTAAAACCTGTATAAAAAAATCAATTTTGGCACTACCCATAAGGCAATAGATGATATGTACCTAAGATAGCAAATCACATAATGAAAGCATAACCAGAAGAAAATAATATTATTTAATTTATTATTTAAAGAAACTGTGAGACTTTAATTATAATTAAAAAGGAAATTAAAGAATCAGCATTTGCAAGTCACCAAAACACCCTGTCCAAAATACCGAAGATTCTTATATGCAACAGGAAATTGCTTTAATCTGTGAAGCCACTGTGCCATGTCTTGCAGGAGAACCTGATATTTCTGCGGTTATTAAATTGTCAAACTAGTTTTATTACTAGAAAATAGAAAAAAGTTTAAGGATAACATGATTTTACTTCTTAAGTAAGCAGAAAAATACTACTCTGAAGTTGAGCCTTTGTTGACAGTCTATTTAAAAAACCCAAAGGTAATTTTGCCATTCACTCCATTGAGTAAATACCACAGTTTTAAACTTTTTTTAATTTATATGAATGGTTTTAGCAACTTCCTTTCTGCATTTCCATCAGTTTCAATTATAGTTGAAATTTAAAATTCAGTTTCTCAGTGTTGCCACATTTGCACTGCAATGACTGCAAGCCCAGATTTCATGAACTGTGGATTTCATTTAAATTTTAAAAATAATCTTCTGCATTTATCTTACATTTGTAAAAAGATATTTTTCAAAACTTAAGGCAAAAACCAAGTTTTATTGGTTATGTTTCTTTAAGTCTGAAGAGGTGTACAAGGCTGTTTAAATATCAAAAAAGCTAACACCATATACAGTATTACCAATAAAAGTAAAGAATAAGGCAGCATGCACCCTTAAAATGAAAAGAAAATTTAATTTTACAAGATGTTTAAATAATCTAAAGGCAAAAAGTGTCTGTCTCCTCTAAGAGTATCTTCATAAAACATGGAAATTTTAGAGGACATCAAGTTACTAAAATATTCCGTTCAACGTTTATACAAATACATTACTACAATTATAAGTTTACATACAATCAACTGACATCTCAGGGTTAACGAATTACTTAAATTTACAAGACAAACATAAATAAAGCTGTTAAAACAGGCAAGTACAGTACTGATCTATCATTCAGCACAACATATTTTGTATTTCTTTCACCTTGAAAAGAATCGGATTATAATTGTGCGAAGTCGTTCTCCAAATCTAGAAATAAAATAAAAGAGAATTAAGTATATCTATGCAGGTTTTACACAGCATGGGCATATTCCAAATGCCTAAGTCCTGTTTTCAGGCATGTAATTTACCATTTAGTAACCTTTTGTCTGTTCTCAGAAGAGGCCACAGTCTTTAAGGTTATTTTTAATTATGACATCAGTTACAGCATCGAAAACGAATTGTACATTTTTTGTGTCTGTGGCACATGTGAAGTGAGTGTAGATTTCCTTTGTGTCTTTTCTCTTGTTCAGATCTTCAAACTGACACTGAATGTAAGCAGCTGCTTCTTCATAAGTGTTCGATCCTAGAAGGAGAAAGTTGCTCAGTAAGCCAGTTTCAAACTGAGAAAGAGCGAGATGTATACCGTATCTTTAAAGAACATGGTCCACAGTCGTTGCTTTAAAATACCATAAACGAACAAGAAGGAAATATTTTGAACAGATTTTTAAGAACAAAAACTAAGGACTCAATTCGATTCCAACAGCGGGAAAAGTCTTTCTATTTACTTCAGTGGCAGGTGGAGCAAGTTATTAATGACCCATCACTGTTCCCTAGACTAGGATATTTTGCTTCCTTCATTCAAGTTATTCACTTTCAATTTTTATTTAACAGGTTTGGGTTTTTCCCAAACTCAAAGACATTTGGCATACATATTTCTCCTAGGCTTTTTACCTCCAATGTGCTATTTTCTGTACAATGGAATAGTTTGAAGTTACAATTAAAATGATACATAAAAAAGCTAAGACTTGTTAAATGAAATCATCCTCTTTTGCTATGTATCTCCTGAACAAGCCACCTACTTCGAACATGTATGTACACTCCCTGTTCAAATAAACTCTCATGTATCCTCATGGATTCCTGCTAGTGAAAAAAATGACATCTAACTACAAAAACAGGACAGCAGAAAAAAGAATGGGCTAAATAAACTAGGCTGAAAAGAGTTGCAGCAATAACATGTAAATGCTACCAGTGGATCAGCATTACTTCACCTGGTTAAAAAGATGAATCTGACACAGCACTATTTTATTTGTGAATCCATAGAAACACCCCCCTCATCTTAAACTTGATTTCATTTGAATATTTTAGATAGAGTTATTAAACTCTTCTCGATTTGTGCATCAAAAATGAAGTAATTTAACCAAGAATTACTTGACACCTGCACCCCCCCTCCAATACCTGCATATTCAGGGTAGCAAATAGTGAGAGGACTCCTTTTGATTTTTTCTTCAAAAAGATCTTTCTTGTTCAAGAAGAGAATAATAGAAGTGTCTGTGAACCATTTATTGTTGCAGATACTGTCAAACAATTTCATGCTTTCATGCATTCGATTCTGTAATTAGAAAAAAGCACCTTGTTGTATTTATCAGACTTCAGTAGTAAAATCAGAATACATATTTCTGGTTAGTTACAAATGAATCAGGTAAGTTAAAAAAGGAAGTTTATATCATATAGAATCACATTTTACCACAGGGAGAGGCCAAGACCATTACAAAGAGCACTTTCATGAGTAGGGTTTAAGCAATTACTATTTTTGGCGTTTTTTTTCCTCATTTCCAAGCTTAAGTTGTTTAATATTTTAGAAGTTTTTGGCGTCTTTTGACATTTTTGACAGAGCTGCTTAGTCACCCAAATTTGTCTTACACTGATTAGGTTCTCTGGAAACTGAAAATTAAATTCTGCACCTAGCTAAGATTCCAGCATAAGAAAAGAAAAAAAAGTTCTATAGAGTTAGAAAATCAAGTGAGCATGTTTTTTTTCCTCTTACCCTCATTTTTAACTCTGTAGAAGAAATAACCAACATGTAAGCACTTTGGTCAAGCTCCAGTCATTTAAGTAGCAGAATGCTAGCTATGATCTTCTTTAACTACATTTGACTCGAAAGGTTTTTTTGTTTTTCTTTCCTCTCCAAACTATATATGTAAGAATTGGCAGAACATGAGGAAGAGCACAGAAGTTTGTTAATGATTCACGCACAATAAGCATCACTTTAGACCACTCAGATAGTAAAAAGCATACACTCTGGGCATACTGATATAGGAGGATGTCACGCCTTGAAAGAGGAGAAAGGAGTGAAAGAGGTTGGAAGGGAGAACAAAGAGAAAAATTTCTGCAATTAAGGAAAGTGATCAGAGAAACACATTTAGAAATAAACAAAAACTGAGGAAGGAAAGGAAAACAAAACATGCCGTGCAGTAGAAACAGATAAGTCAAGCAATTTCTTATTAAAAATCTCTAGCATCCATCCAGAGACTAATGTGTATTACTGACAATCTATCCTCATTAATTTATGCATCCTTTAAAACATGAAAGAGTAACAGAAAAGAATACTTGTCTCGTAGTATTCCTTTTGAGAATATGAGGAAATACTTTGAAACCCAAAAGCAAGAATTCTGTCACCATTTCTATGAGACTGTTTACACAAAACCCATCTTATAAAGCAGTAATACTCTAAAAGATGTATTTATAGCTTTCCCTTCAAACTTATTTAGTTTCTATCCAACAACTATTCTCTTCTTCAACATTAATGTACTTGCCATTTCCTCATCTTCAGCCAAGACCAAGTCATAATCACTTAACGCCACACAAAAAATAATTGCTGTAACACCCTCAAAACAATGAATCCACTTCTTGCGCTCTGATCTTTGGCCTCCAACATCAAACATCCTGCAAAACAGAAGTGCAAAGCAGGGAATTAACTTTGGAATTTCTGGCTTTCTGAATGTTAATCAATAAAATCTGAAAGTATCAGCCTTGTAAGGCTGATCAGAAAATTTTAAAAGGCATAAAAACCTGCAACATTTATTACTATTTATGTCTCAGTATTAAAAAAAAAAAGTTTTAATAAAGCCTTAAAAGCTGTCCTATGCAACAAGAGAAAGTGTGAAACCAACGCTAAACATAACTATTTACAATACTATATTTCATTAACAAAGTTAATTGTAATCTATAAAAAAATACACAGAGTTAGCTTCACTAAATGTAAACTAGATGAAAGTGTTGCTTAACCTTTAGCCTGAATGAATAAAAAGTAAAATAATAAAAGGTATTGATCAACAATCTAAGATTCTTCAAGAGCACAGTGGTATTTCTTAATACTTGGAAATAAAGCAATACAAAGGAAGCTGGATACAAGTAACACCAGCTATTATTTTTATCTTAATATTCTGAATATAAATATATAAAATTTAATTTTCACTTTTTCAAATTTAATCTGGAATCTCTAAATCATGGTGAGTTTCTGCTCCTCTCTCCTAAACCAGATTGCAATTTGATCTATTTTTCAACTGTCCATGTTTAAATGGGATATTTTTTAAAAGGCACTAAAATTATTTTCAAGATTCTCTTAACAGACAAAATAAGCATTACATAATAAGAATAATCATTCTCCCTCTACTAAATGCAATTTTTGGAAATGCAGTTAAGCGGGAAAACTGAGCGATAAAGGTGAGTCTTGTTGCTCTGGAATTCTTAGCTTAGCAGAAATAGAGCAATAGGAAAAGACCACATTCCAGATCTTCACAGCAGAGGAACAGCAAATTAGACATTAGATTTACTTTTCTCTGCTATTTAAAAGCTTTAAATATACATTTACTAACTACTGTGGGCAACAGACACTCTGAAAGACAGAACTTTCATGAGACATCATAAGGAACTTCTAAGTATTTTCCAAGCCAGATAAATAGCATCTTGATACAATGAACTGAATCATGGGGTGGGGGATGAGACCCAACACAAAAAAAAACCCCAAAACCCCCCCAAATAATGGGCAAACAGTGGTATCTCAAAATTAAGTGATATATATGTTGTAGCATCTTGTCAAAGAGAAAGAACACAGACTTTTTCTACCTGTCTCTTTCCTATCATAGAAAAACAAATCTGTCATCTCAAATTCTTGCAATGACTTACAGCTTTCAAAACAAGGCAAATATGTCACATATTGCTTCCCTTGTATATTAGTCAATATTCTATCATGCTAAAACTTAATTTCTTCCCCCTACTTAAAAGCAAATGCAATTATTCCTTTTAAAAGAGGCCTGATTTTTGTCTTCCAGGGTTTTCACTAGTAATTTTAACTTTTTTTCTACATTGCCACAAAAAAAAAAAGCGCTTACAATTCAGTAGGTATAAAAACATTCATATAGGAGGAGGAGGAAGAGAGAAGAGAAAGAATAGAAGACAGACCAGTTCCTACATCTTTATCCTCTTTGCTGTAAGTAGCAGAATGGTCAGCTCTATCACAAAAGCCTTATTTGGGTAAAAATGTCATACAAACATGAAGAGAAATCCAGACCAGAACAACAGTTGTTAAGATGCATTAGCTATAATTCTTGTAAAAATATTTCAGCATTGCCTCAAGCAATTCAGAATTATATTAGAAATAAGGCTATCACATTGAGAGCTTTCAGTAGACAGTAGGGCATGTAGGTTTGAACAACAACAAATCTCATTCTTTACAGGATAGAACAGAACACGAGACAGAAAAATTAACTGAGAAACTGAACAAGAAAAAATCCTCCTTTTATTTTTTGTGGACACCAGCTTCAGGAACATGAGAAATTAAATGCTTTATACTGATGGCAATACTGTAATATCAATCTGAATGAGTCTCACCTAGTTCAGTAATACCTTATGGCACTGGTCAATGCAAAAATATTACTAATAAGATAACTGAGAGGTATAAGAAAATATGACACAGCTTCCTGTATTAATAGAAAACTGTAGCAAAAAGTATTCTTTCAAAGAACAGCAAAAATACATAAAGAAAATAGGTCTGCACAAGAGGCATTGTATGGCTTGTTCAGACTATGTTGCCAGTATGTATCCTGGGAAGGGAGGTAAAATGCAGAAGATGCACAACTCCTAGAACATAGAAGTGTAATTTTCAGTTTGTATTCACAGATACTGATTTTAGCCAGAAATATGTGCTTCAGTTGAGAATAGCCTCTCTGCCAGTGGTGTATTTCACCAGTGATGCTTGTCTGTTTTGGGGCTTGTTTCTAACAGTGCACCTAACAAGCTCACGGTTCTTTATGTAAACCATCTTTTTGCACTAATCTTTGACATTTTTATATACTAAAATCTAGTGCTGGGTGAAGTTTTGGCACCACAGTTTCACAGTGAGCACCTCAACAGCAAGCAATAAGAACCCGAGCTGCTTCTCCATATGATATCAGCACAGAGAATACAGGCATACAGAAAAAAAACTCCCACAACTATTTGGCACACAAAATTCTTGAGAAAAAGGTAAGGCTGTAAAATTAGCCATTCTGAACAGAGTGGTCTTAAAAGTTCTTAAGTTTTCCATCTGCCCTGTTAGAAGTTATACTGGGGCCTGTTAGGTCAAAGTTGCTAAAGACTGAAACACGGATAGAAGCTGTTTAATCTGCAGATAAATTTTAATAAGTTTTGAAAGAATAATTTACAGATTACATCTTCCAATAGGGGAGGGTGTGACACAGAGTTGTGTGCAAGCCCATCTTTTAAGCATTCGCTTCAGGTGCCAAAATTCATAGTACCACCCATAGTCTGACTACTCAACCGTATTTAGCTTACACAAGGTAAGTCAGAGTCTACTATGAACTACAAAGAAATACAAGGCACTGGTGAAAGAACTGAAGTTTGTAACAGCTGAATCTGCCCTCCTTATCTAAAGAACGAAGGCATTAGAGAAATGCTTTAATGACTTTCTATTATTTAAAGAAAAAAAACATATTTCTCCAATGAGATTACAAGGTGACTATGCCACATTAAGACAAATTACTTCACTGAGCTAAATGTAAAGCACTAAAGACACTTCTCCAGTCATCACTCTACTAAGCTATGTTACTTGGATATATTAAATAGATAGCTTTCTGAATGGTTTATCTGCAATTGTGCAAATTTAAGGACTTAGGCAAGGCCCTTTCAGTAGCACAATGTTTCCCAAAGCTTCTGGCAAGACTTGCTATGTTCTGCCTCTTTCAGGCTATTTAAGCAAGGAACCTGATTCCAGTACCCATGCAATATGTGGGCCAAAAGGACACAAGATATTTATTATGGTTGCTTTCATTTCTTTTGTAAGTTGTTTGTTCCAGTCCACAGTCTTACGAAAGACTGAATTTGACAAATATTTTGTTGAGGCAGGGTGAGTGTTTAAAAAAATATGATACATATCTGGAAAGTCTCACATATTACACACTTGTTAAAACCAACCTGTATTTTTTATTATTGTCCTTTCCTGTTTTCCCTGGGCTGTAAGATTGTAGATAAAAAACCTACTGATTCAATGTTGGTGTACCACATGACTAGATAAATTGCACTTGAAGGGATTCAATTACTGTTGATATTTTTAGAAATCTTCAAGTGCTCTGAGTTGTTAGATTTTTATTTAAGAAAAACACAGTAAAAAAGTAGAGGAGGAAATAAATCAGAAGAAAAATAAAATTCCTTTGCTTTCTGATCAAAAAACCATCAGAAACATCATAACCTCTAAGGAAGTCTCCTACTTGGGTGACAATGCTCATTGCCCATTTAATGTTCCACAATGGAATAATGCCATCCTAAAAACATTTTAAAAGACTACTCTTGTTAGAATTAAAAATGAAAAAAAGATTCCTTAGGAGGGTTCCTTACCTTCAGAGATATCTTTGAGGGGAAGTTTCTGGCTATCACCCTATATAAATACAAGTCAGCCACCTACTCAGTTCTCAAATAATTAGTGATGGCTGTACCCATAGGAAGATATTTTGTACTTTTATATCTTAATGATTAATACTTCAAATTTTAGTCATTATTTCTGTCAATTCTAATGTTAATGTTTTATAATTTTGTACTAAGACCTGAATCTCCATAAAAATTTGTTACATTATCAGAAGAATATGTTACATTATGAGAAGAATATTTCTACTAAATAGGTGTTCTTTGAAGACAGGAGTAAATAATCAGACTCAACCTCTGAAATAGTCTATAGATGGAGATGACTTACTATTTGCATTTTAGATTGAATCAATAAAGTTATGCTAAGTGCTTCATAGAGAAGGCTGAAATGAGGCTCAACCTCAATCTAAATACACACAGTAAAACGGGAAAGAGAATGAAAAAAGTACACAATATTGCACAGTCACATTTATGTACCCTCATCTCGGTATAATCAAGCCTTTTATGCCTTTAGTTCATCTTAAAAGTTCTTTTCAATGTTATGTAAGAGTATATTTCTTCAAGCCCTTCCAATAACTCATTAAGCCTATCTCATAAGGCACCTAAAATTTAAATACCTGCTGTGCAGGTGTCTAAATGTACAACATTACAGTTAAATACTTCCAAAGCCCGCCTTAAACATTTTATAGAAGTGATCATATAGTCCTTCTAATGGACTTTACAGGACTGTAACTACATAGTCCTTCTAACAGTCCTAATAATCAGTACGGACTGGAGGTAGCTACCTACATACAAATTCATTGAGAGTGTAGAAGAATTTAAACCCATCTATAATAGGGAACTGAACAAGAAACATTAGAAAATGAGTGAGACTATAAATAGCTCCTCAGAATAATGAAGATTTCTCTTGAGGCTTGGCTAAGGACTACTCTCCTTAGATTGGCAAGAGATTAACTCCCGTTTACCAGCTAATATTTTATGGATGAATACAAATTTTGTACACTTAAAACAAGGAAACAAAATATATTTCCGTGGTACTGATGGCCCTGAAGCATCCATACTATGCTACTTGCTATGCATTTACAATAAAAAATATATTTTCCATTAAGATACTAAACAAATTCATTATACAGATGTGCTGACAACAATCTCTGCACAATCTAATGCAGAAGCAATGGAGGTTTTACTGAGTTTTCTTCTCATTCTTCTTGATCAGCAGGAGGTAGAATATTATTACATTTATACTATCCTGTGCTTTCATCAAGAATGCCTTTGGACATAAGATGTTCAGAATATTAACATTATCTTGTTAATCCCACACCACAGGAAACATAAGTCACATTCTTTCAACACTAAATAAAGTACTACCTTAAAGTACAACACATTTTAGTTCAGTTCTTCAGGAAAATGGATTTACTCTTTCATACAACACCAGCAAAGACTTAGAAGCCTCCACCTCTCCAAGTGAATTTAAAGGGAAGAATCTGATAGAACAACAGCCATTTAACATGGCAGAAAACTGAATATTGAGATTTAATTTACATACTAATATCGTTACAAAAAGCTTCCAATAAAACCGAAGTATTTATTACTTAATACCTGCATATTTATTCTGAGTTATTACAGGATTTACAAAGACTCTCACATCCCTTCAGAAAACTGAGCCAAACATGAGGAATTTTTTTAAGAAAAAAAGAGGGGGGAAAAAAAGTTGAGGTTAGACAAATTTGTTTACATTACATTACATCACTGAAAGTCCATCTTCTAGATCTTTATAGAAACTGTAATGGACAGATGAACACACAGCATGATTTACATACTTAAAATGAAGATCTTTGAAAGTAAAGTGAGTTTCCACTATTCCTGTAGTTTTCACTCTAGTCCTGAGAACGTCCTGTTGGGTTGGAATGTAGCTGGTTTGTGCTATCCTGTCCAAGTCATTCAAGTAACTGAAGGTAAAAATAAATACTGCTTTCAGTGATTCATAAAACAGTAACAAGATAATTACAAAGAATTACAGAAGTTATAGGCCCATTCATTATATTGTGCTTGACTTTTATAAAATAGCTTTCTCTGAGATAACACAAAAGACACGACACATTAATGTCTCTCAGTTTTCCAAGTTTTTTTGAAATAAGCTTTAGAAACAAAGATATTTCATCCTAGAAGAAAGAAAACTTACACAACTTACTCCACTACAAAGAATTATTCTTCTGAAATCCCAAAATACAAACATGGTTCCATGTAAACCAACGTTATTTACACTAACTAAAATAACACCTTCATCTTTGTAACCTATTGAACAAGTTATTTTGAACTATAACCAAAGCCCAGAATTACCCCAGACTGATAACAGGTAAGACAAGAACTCAGTGTTTTGACCAGAATTAATGTGTTTAAGAAAATGCTTGATACATAACAATTAAGTTCCTATTGAGAATTTCTAATTACACACATTTTTTACAATAGTATACTTTCACTGCCAAAATTCTTGCCTAGTTTTTCTAAAAACCACACAAATATTATTTGTGCTCTTCCCATAGTAAACAGGGAAGGCATTATGTTCTTCTTTCAGTCTAACCAGAAGTTAGCAATTTTAAGGACAGAATTGTACAGCTAGAAGAGTTTTCTCATGAAACTGGAGGTAGAGGTATCTATAACAATAAAATAGAAGAGGATGTTACCAGAGGAAAGTAAGTAATCCTCCAAATTACGTGCTCCACATTGAGCAAAATTTATACAAGTGCTATCTCTTAAGTCAAAAGATCTGTCATTGTGAGTTTTGCTTGTTGCCATCTACCCTTAGAACACCTTCAGCAAACAGGTAACAATCATGCTGGAAGTATCAGTGTTATTTCAATCCAATTTGATCACATTTTTATTCATTCAGCATACTTATAATTACATTACTCCAGTTACCTCACCTGTATGTTGTTTGTTTACGTATACTTATTCTGAAGAAGTACCTTATTTTAAGGAAAGTGAAAAACAACTTCAAACACTACTAATTAATTCAGAATGATAAAGTTTTAAAAAAATTGCCTTAAGGCCAGTATCATTGCTATGCCATTCTTAACCATCTTGCCTCTCCCTTGATGGACTCTTTTCCGTGAGTGACTTACCATTACTTGCTGCCATCACATCTTATTTCTCACATCCTTGTTTCCTTTTTATTTTATTTTATTTTTTTAATGAAGTACCCTACCACAGAAGACATCCTGATTGTTACCTTTGCTTAACACATTTCTAACAGAGACTGTTAATTAACAAAGAAAATGCAGCAATGTTGAACTGTAGGAGAAACTCTATTATGAACATGAAAGTAGTATCCTTGGTAACACCGATTGACATCATGTAATCAGGTTTCCTGGCCACGTTCAGATACTGAACAGGTATCTGAGTCATGAATTTGTAATAAAAAATGCTACTAATGCACCTTAAAGCAGTCTTCCTCAAGAGGATGAAACAACTGGTCAGAACACGTCTCAAGTTATACTACACCTCTTCCTTTCCAACACTGAAGCCTAGTTGGAGCACTTTGACCCAAGTAAACAATATCTTTGTCCAGATACTTCTAAATTTTCCAAATTTCTACATGGGAGCAGAATTCCTCAAAAGATGGAACTCCCTTGATGTTCCTTTAGCTACTACTTAGAAGACAAAGAGAATCTTGTTTGTCACATAGTACTTACTAGGCAGCAGAGTCATTAAGCTGGTATTCTCTAGATCTGTTGAAACAAGCTTGAACTCCACTGTCTTTCCACAGTCTCTTGATAACTCCAGCAAGCTCTGCAGTCATAAATCCTTCTTCTGCAGCTCCAGCTAACACAAAGAGTTGACGAGCATCATCCTTTAGGATGTAAATAGAAAGTGGAGACACAAGCATTGAGAAATACAACAGAAGTATAATCGCCTAAGAATTATATTCAGCAAATGAGTTACTTTCTTAATCTGGTAAATGTGAATGTAACCAAACAAAAAAACATGAAGGAAAACAATTGGTTTTAGTGTTCTGCATAGGATATTAACTACTGCATTTGTCAACAACAGAAAAAGACTAGTAAACCAAATTTCTCATTAGCTGATAAAGCTTCTTCTGATCTGTTTATAATTCAAACTAAGCTTCTATAAACAGAAGTAGTAACATATTTTGTGCTCAAGTCTATAATTAACCTTATTCACTTATCAAACACCACAATCTGAATAAAATGGTTACAATGAATACTAGAACCTTCAGAAATGTGGATGCATATTGATTGATTAGAAGAAAACACATTAATCACTGAACTTCAAAGGCAACTTTGAAAGTGACAAATGTTCATTTCTTCCCAAATCATGCATCAGGAAACAGAAAAATACTTCTTAAAACCTTTCCAGATAAATCAGTTACAAATATCCATTACCTTAATTGTTCTACAGAGATCAAGCTTTCTTGGTAATGCAGTATCAAGCAAACAAAGATTTTTAACAGAGTAAATGCTGGATTTTAAGACTATATATAATGACTGCCTTTAAGAGTGAGGTTAATGGAGTACAGGATGTCCATCCACCAGTGTCCTTTAACAGAATTTGACCAGTTGGTTACCTTCATCCAATTTTGATTGAGGAAAGAAACTTAACAGTGTTAGACTGTAAGGCACTGGAAAAAGAAGATAGCAGCTGGGTGGAGGAAAGAGATCCACATTAGTATTCTCCTGGGGGTAGCTGCCTGACCTTGGTTATTAGCTGTATGTGATCTAATGCCAAGGTATGTCAGCCAGAAAAATCAACATACTTGTGGCTTGTAACTACTACCCACAGCATGTACTGTTTGTCCAATAATTAAAAGAAAGATAACAGATGCTACTGGAAAGCAGGAAGGAGAAAAGAGAGACTTAGGCATATCAGCTGGGAACTGAAAGTATTTCAAGAAAGAAGAGGATTTTAAAAAAAGCAACATATAAGGTTATTCTCACAAAACAGTAAGTGAAGATACCGATATAAATCTGTAGAAAAATCTGGTTCTGTCACTTTTTCTGTTCAAATAATAAGATGTGGAAAAAAAAAATTCAGGATAAGCACAGAGAGTAGTAATTGTTCTAAAGATATTGTCCACTGTAAACTTCAATAATCAAAGATTATGACAGCTAACAGGGAAATTATTTACAGATGGACTGAGTAATACTGATACTCATAGCTTAAAAACAAAGAGGCTGCAGTTCAGTCAATTCATGGCAAACCTGAAGAGATTTATATATATATATCTATATGTATATAGTTACACATACGAACAACAGGTATCTGATATACAGTTCAAAAAGTATTTTGAAAGCTAGAGCAGTTACCAAACTAAAAACTAACACCTGTCAAACAAATTAACAGAATACTGATTATTGTACATGCACAGGACAAATTGTGAACAACTAAGAAAAAATCAATGGATTGCACTAATAATTACATAAAAAAAAAAGAGCTGTAAAGATCAAAGGGCTGGAAAGTCAGATCTCACAGACTGTAGTTTGAGTAATATGCCTGCATAAAAGAAACCTGAATGACAGTTCTGATCTTGAATATTGTTTGTGGATGCAAATGCCAAGGACCTACAACTTCACAGAAGCAGCAGATCTTGAAGAAGAAACAATATATTAAGACATATGATGGAAACAGCTTAGAAACTGACTGTCAATTTTGTCATGAATTATTATGCCATTTTATACCTAACATGGTCTGACTTTCAAACATACAAAATCTACTTTTTCAAATAGCTCTAATCTCTACATCCTCTAAAATGGGTGGGGGAGAGGGGTGTGGAAAAGGGAAAGTGAAACAAGAGAAACCATTTCAGTTTTCTAAAAGCTAAAATGCTAAAATAAAAAGTGTTTTCTTTTCTGTTACCCCCATACTCCCTTTTCTTGGGATGGCAAGTACTAGAGACACCACAAGTGAGGTAGTATGCAATGAACAAGTCTTATTTTCATTATTAACCAATGCTAGATACTTTCCTTTAATCATACTGGAATGAGGCAGCTTCTTCTCTAGTTGTCAACATTTTTATACTAGATTTCATAAATTAGATAATGAAAAGAAACTAATTTAACCATCTCTCTAGCTAACTACATCAAATCTCCCATTCAGAAAGTGGTCCATAGTCCTTTAAAGCATATTCACTAAGTGTCTCTCAAAACAGTTTCTACTTTAGTACTGAAACATCCTGTAGGACAAAGGAAGATACAAAAGTCTTGAGACTGACCATTACTGAAGCTGCCGGTGTAGTCTGTGCTCCCTTCATTCAATAGCTTTAAAAAATAAAACATTTAACTCACTGCTTTACCATTAGTCTTATCACAGAAATGAGAGTATATGATTTTCCAAACTTATCCTATCCTTAGAGTAAAACCCTCAGAAATTTAAGGAAAAGAGTCTGAATGTAACAGTTTACATCAGGAGTTACAATGCTGAGCCTTTTTTTTTTTTTGACAAAAAATGTCAAAATTAAAACAAAATAAAATAAAATTTAAAAGGCTATACTATAATAATTAAGGAGTAATCTTTTTTTTTTCTAAAAGTGAGACTGACTTACAACACAAGCTCTGAATTCCTTTTTCCATTTCTGTCTTTACAATTGGCAAAAATCTAGTTCTGATATTCCACAGCAGTGTTGCGCTGAAAAAATAATTGAGAACCCTAAGACCTGCCTAAGTGCAAAAGGATGGACAGCTAATTTAAGATCATCCCTGACAAAAGTTTGCTTCATGATTTATATAGCTCCCTGGAGTTGAGAAACTCAGATGACTTCAAATTGATATTATACATAAAATAGCCCTAAAAAAATCTTCTTGTTAGTCATTTTATGTGCTAACAACTAAATTTACTCCTCCTCCGTTTTCTCTTACTGTGTATTTAGTAACATGAGTCTACCATCTGCCTCTTTCCAGCATTAACCGCCAGATTCCAGAGAGGACTCCATTGCACAAATACTGAACTAACATGTGATAAGATACAAAAAGCCCTGGAAAACTTTGGTCTTAAGGGAAGACAACAGCAAACACGAGAACAATTGCAGAGAGGAACAACTAATGAAAATGAGGCTTTTACTAGTTATGTTTCCAATTGAAGAAGTTTCAGGTAGAATTAGAATTAATGTTTGCCTTCCTTATGGCAACCATACATAATGCCTTTCACAAGGTCACTGAAGGTACACTAATATTTATAAATTGATTTTTAAGCAATCAATAACATCTTAAACACAAGACTTTGTTATGAACAAAGAATTTACATACAGTTTCTTATTTTTCAAGACCCTCCTTTCCTCCCAAACTGTAATTCAACCTTAACATGATGGAAAGGACTTAATTATGACAAAATATCCCTCTGACTACCTGACATACTTATTTCAATACATGAACAGACAAAGAAACTTCCTCTATCTTTCCTGCAAGACAGACATAATGTGGCTAGTTATTGTTTCAAAAACTGTACTGGTGAGTGTTCCATATTCTGACATTGTTTTATGTGGAAAGAAAATAAAAGCACACATCCTGAACTAAGTTTTAACGCTATTCAGATAAACAACTTTGGTGATCAATTTCAGCACTGCAGCACAGAATGGATTCCTGTAACCAGAGGACAAGCAAAAACACTTCAGCATCAACACTTAAACATTTACAGAAGAGATTCAGAGCCTCTAACCTCCTGACTAGACATGGACATAATGAGAGTCACCACAGGTAAGAGTATAGGATTAGAACTGGAGAAACAGTAGGACAAAAGAAAGAGTTCTGCAGACCAGCTTCAATAGGTACAATGACATATAGACCCATCAGAGCTTTGTATGTGGGACATTAGACAAAATGAGATGGAAAAGGTGCAGAAAAGCTTAGAAAAAGGTCTCCTATTTCTTGGGAAAAATCATTAATCCATACAGTATCATGGAATAAAAGTAGCAGGGCTATGCCCATGTCTCTGCTTTGATTAAAATAAAGTCCTCCACACCAGAAATTGATATGAAACAGGGTCAAGCTCAGAGGCTGGGAATGTTTTAGGTGCTGCTGTGCCTCTGACCTAATAGAGAACTGCAGACAGTAGCCAGATGCCTACCTATTTATGCTGTGTTTTTTAAGGAATGTGAAGATGTGAAGAATGTGAAGATGACTAACTTAACTTACAGAACATAACAGCCCACAAGTCCATACAAATAAATAGACATGACTGCATAGCTTAATATTTTTCAAAATGTTTGAAAACAGATGTTTAGTTCTCCAACTTTAGATAGAATTTGGAGAATTGTATCTAAATCAAATAGGTGTTGTGAATAAACCCAGTGTGGATTGCTCTGTAGGTCACCTTGCCATGTAAAGACCAATGGCATTTAATTTTCAATCGAACTAAAAAAAATCCTACAGGTTTTTGGACATCAAGATATTTTTTCAGTAAATAGTAATGAATAAAAACTGAAAATAAATTTCAGCTGTATATCTGTGTGTGTACTTCAATACTCACAGCCCTGGTTGGATCACCAAAGTCTATCTTCAACCTCCCCATTGCTCTAATGATAGCAATAATGGACTGAATGGTGTTACTGTAGACAACAGCTTTGTACTGTTTACATTCTTCTTCTGAATAACCAGCTTCATGGATAATCCTATGGAAGGAAAAAAAAAATAATTCTCTATTCAAATAAAAAAAAAATATTTCTCTATCATAGTGTTTCACCATACTTACTTCATTTGTTTGACAATTGTGCTTTTCCCTGATTCACCAGCTCCTGAAAAATAAATGTATGAAAATTCATTTAGAGTAGACTTTTAAATTTTTGAAAGTACATTTAGTTTCTACACTTCAAATACCTAACCAATACAAAAACCTTCAATAATTCAAAGTACATTTGTTACAAATTATTTTTAATATCAAAATGCAAGAGTCTGGAGCTGGAAGTTTCAAAATCAAGACATTTTAAGAACAAATAATTCAGCTCTAAAAAGTCTTTTCTTTTTTTCACAAGTGAGCATAATCTTTACATAGTCTGCTGGTGTTTCTACTGCAAACAGATGATCAGTTGTTCAACTTCAAAGGGGTCTCAAGCTCAATTCCTCTAACTGCCTGTCCTGGTTTTTTAATCAACACCTAACAAAAAAAACCTCCTTTATAAGTTCTTTATACTGTATTAATGGCCTTCAGTGTTGCAAATTAGTATCTTCAAATCCTCCACAGTTCTAGTCCTTGTAACCATCTTTTGGCCCTTAGTAAGAATAAACCACCACACTCAGACTACTTTTTGTTGGAACAGATTGCATGAGGTTTGCCAGACATGCTGATAACATTCTCAATGCTTAACAAACTAATAATAAAAAAAAAGCTATGTTAAAATACAAAGCTTACAAAACTAATTAGTATGACTGTCAGCAGGGGAAAAAAAAAAGCAGTTTTTGCTGTCTCAACTAACTTAGTTTATTTTATCTCCACTTTCTTTAGTCTGCTTCTTCCTCTGAAAAAAAAATAAAAAAAATATAGAACTCCTAGAGCTCTTCGAGATGTGATCTAATCCCTTTAAACAGCACACTCCTGGTTTGTCTGTGATTTGTGCTGAATTCTCCCTCTTACACTTCCTCTTTCTCAACACAGCTTTGCAGAAGTGAGTGTAATTGTCACACACTCTCCAGGTGTTTCTAATGCGAACAGATCAACAGTTGTCCAATTCCAACACAACCGAAGAAAACTCTTCTTTAGAGGTCACTGTGACCATGGGAAGCCACTGAGAAAGGATGTGTTTATTCATCTTCAAAAAAGGGAAACAAGGGGAATCTGAGGCACCATGAGACAGTGAGCCTCACCTTGATCCCCAGACTAACTATATAGTAAATACTCCTGGAAGTCATTTCCAGGTACATGAATGAAAAGAAGGTGACTGAAAATTGCCAGCACAGATTGACAAAGTGCAAACTGTTCCTAATTTGATAACTTTTTGTGAGGAAACAGGTGGTTTGGGGGATGAAGGACACCAGTGGACATCATTGACTCTGGTAGGGCTTACAATGCCACTGCCCATAGTATGGTTGTACCAAATTGGATAAATATCAACTCAAAGGTTTATGGAAATCTGTCCAGACAGCCAGACTTAAAGGCTCATGGCCAATGGTTTAAAATTTAACCGAAAACCAGTAAGAAGAGGCAATCTTCAGCAGATGATACTGAGTTAACACAGTTTTAACATCTTCATCAATGACCTGAAAGCCAGGATGGAATACGCTCACATCAAGTCTGCAGGCAACATCAGCCTGGAAGGCCAGGAAGTGGTCACAGCGTTGCAGAACAGAGGTGCTATTCAGAGGGTCCTCAACAAGTTAGAGGACTGAGCTGACAGGAATCTCATGACACCAAACAGACACAAATGTGAAGTCCTGCAAGTGGTACAGAATAACCCATGCAACAATACAGACTTGGGACTAATGCTCTAGAGAACAATCTCGCAGAACACAACTGTGGGGATCAACAACCTGAAAAGTCAGTAGGGGGCCCTTGTGGAAATGAAGGTCAACCACACACCAGGCTGCTGCACTGGGTCTGGCTGGGATAAAGCTAACTTTCTTCACAGCAGCCCATATGGTGCTGTGCTTTGGATTTGTGGTTAAACCACTGTTGATAACACACCAGCGTTCTTGCTATTGCTGAAAAGTGCATTCACAGCTCCAAAGTTTTTTTTTTTTCTCTTTTCCACTGTGTCCCCACCCCTAGTGAGTAGGCTGGGGGTGGACAAGAGGCTGAGCAGGGACATAGCCAGGACAACTGACCCAAGCTGACCAAAGGGATATTCCATACCACATGATGAAAGTTCAAGAAGCTGGTCTGGATGTTTGGGTTGACCCTGGACAACAGCTACCACTGCTGCACTGGCAAAACCACAGTTAACAAGTCACAAGAAGCTGTTGTTCCCCAGCAGCCAGAGTCCATGATGCTGTATCTGAGTACTGCGCACTGTTTCCCCCTCACTGCCCAGTAAAGGATACACTGATAAACTAGACAAAAAACCCCAGAAGGTCATTTGGTTGATTAGGGGGCTCATGCACATGGCATACAGGAAAAAGCTACACGGAACTGGGCTTTTTAACCCTGGAAAGACTACCAGGGACTGCAGGGGAGGTGAGTTGGGGTGTGTGCCTATTTTGCTGTCCTCTCCATAAAACCCATTTCAGACAGCTGAAGACAGAAACAAACTTCTCAGAGGTACACAACAAAAAAATGTGAGGCAATTAAGAAGCTGCAGCACAAACAATTTCACAGAGATATGGGGCAGGGAACCTATCCTCATGGAAGAGGTTAAGCACTGGAACTGACTGCACATAGAGGACATAGAAACTCGGCCTCGGAGATCTTCAAGATTCAACTGGACAAGGCTCTAAGCAACCTTATTTACTTTGATGTTAGCCTGGCTCTGAGCCAGGGGCTGAGCTAGATGACTTCTAGAGGCTTCTTCCAACTTAAAATACTACGTGATGTCAGTATAACAAAATTATTTCTATACTTTGACTAATGTATAGTTATGTCTTTGGGATATCCTTCCTATTAAACCAAATATGTAACTTCATGGCAGGCTCAAACCAATCTTAAGACTGGCTGTCAGAAGCTGTCCCACCTCCTCCCCAGCACTGCTACTGATGTGGCGAGACTTCCCTTCCTCCAACACACAGCAGAGTGAGTGTGAGCACCAACAGGAGCCCGCGTGCCGCAGAATTAAGTAGCTAAGGAATAGAGGAGGCCTGTCAACATCAATCTAAGATTGCTTAATTCCAGCTTTAGCTAATGTCCAAGTAAAAGACAATTTTTTAATAAACCTGCAAGTTTCTTCACAGAGTAGCAATAGTTCTCAGACTCTGAGCTGCCATGGAAGTTCAATATCAGAATATTAATATAAACAGAAAACAGACACACCAGTACAAAAGTAATTTGTTATTGTGACACCCAAAAGATTTATAAGCCAAAGTAACACTTAATCTGTAAATACTTAATTATGCACTTAAGCAGAAACAGGTGACAAAAGTTTAAAAATTAGCTTTATTAATTAAACTATAATTTGCTTTGAGTTAATATTTTTTCAAACAATTTGAAGAAGAGTGTATACACCTACACTCAACAGCAATTTTGGAGATATTAATATTATTACAGTAATGAATTTACATAACCTTGTTAAGAGCTCTTTCTGTTAAAAATTCGCCACATTTAACTAATCAAGCAGGTCAGTGTCGTGGCTAGTCACAGTATCAAAATTTAATTATTTTGCAATACACCTTCTGCTCAGTTTTTTCTGAGTCAAATATGTGCATTTCTCTGTGGTGTTACAAACCAAATACTTAGAAATCTCATAAAAAACCCCCTCAGTAACATAACCACAATCAGTCATAATACATACGAAAAAAAATTAAGTCACTTACTACAGAGTACCCGATATGAACAGTGAGTTCCTGGAAGATGCATTCCCCCATTTTATGCAGTGGAAAATAGAAAGAGCTGTGTTTGGCTTGGGCTTTTTCTTTAACTGCATGCTAAAATGCCCGCAGCTTGCCTAATCTTTGCAAACTATGTAAGAAAATCACACCTTACTCACTGTCCCATACTGAAAGGTAATTCTTTATTTTGCACTCCTGAATGCAGAGCTCAGCCAGGTTTTCTGATGGATGCATTTGTAAAATTTCCTCCTTTATCTCAGTGTGAATAAGTTGTCCATACAACAAAATGAGAACTAACTCTTTTATAAAACTTTAGACAGGAGCAAATAGTATTAAATATTTCATGTGACAGCTGCATATAAAATGTCAGAGCTAGCTGTACCGTCACAACCAAACCCTAGCCACTTTTAGACAGACTTGATTGTATATTCCTCAATCATCTAGTAAAGAATGCTATTTATTGCCTACTATTTAAGTGTGATATTTGATTTCAGCCTCACTACTGCCAATAATTTGAACAGACGGTCTTATTGGCTCAGTTACTATTTATGTATAACAAAATATTAATAAAACACATGACAATTCTGCTCAAACTAGAAAAACAGCAGTGTATCAGTTTCAAATTTGAAGGAATGGTGGGTACTGCAGTTTTAAATGAAAGCCTAAGCTGTTAGGTCATCACTTTGACAAAATAAAGTTTTAGTAACTGATGAGTATTTTCATCTCTCTTGCACACTTTGTATCTTTCATGCACTCCCCATAAAAAAATAGAGGGCAACACATCCTATGAAAATCCAATTTAAAGCACAGAATTTAAAAGCTTTTATTCACATATTTCAGTAGGAACATGGCTTCTACTAACTCTAATACTCTTGTTACACCTGCTTGCCAGAAAGCAGGTAGGTTGTTGTTTCATTACGCAGACTGACTAAGTGTGGAAGCAAAGCATACCCAACTTAATCAGCACAATTTAACACAGGAAACAACTGAACCACATGTCCCCCCCATAAATTCTCCTATAATCTGAAGGGTCTTCTGTCTCAAAGTTCAGTAATCAGGCTTTACCTTCACATGTCAGTACTTTCACAGCTCGCATTGGTGCAGTCATTTACCTGGATCCAGTATGAGTTATGACAGCACTCAGTGAATTCATACCAAGCACATAAACCCAGGCCTATGACTAACCCTTCTGCACCACCCACAGCACAGCTAATCTGAAGCTCAGCTAAATAAGAGGGACTAAGTTTGTATTATAATTCTTCTTTCAAAGCCACCATTCAACTTTGGAGATAAGAGAGAAAAATCAAAGTGTATTCATGTTCAA